TGAGAGCCGCTGATCTAGACTGAGTGCATTCTGCCTACCAGTGGGCGTTCCCCGGGTGTAAACACATTTCTCATACAGATACAGAGTCAATATTCCTAACTTCAGATACGAAAGTGATACATGCACACAACTAGGATAACTGCATTCAGAAAATTAGAACCGTTTCACTGATCTCTCACATGACCTCTCTTGTGTAAAATACATCACAGCTATTCCTTGAATATTACACCCCCTTACCCCCCAGCCAAGGGATCAACCCCCCTTCTGCCCCACACAGCCAGGGGGTGACCCCACCAACCCCAGCAAGGGTGAGCAACACCCCCCACAGCCGGAGTGAGTGATACCCCCACGGCCAGGGCAACCCCGCAGCGAGGTGAGCAGCCCGCCTCTTCCCCCCACTCCCCGGGGAGATGAAGCTGGGAGGGGAGAAGGTACATGAGATGGGGGGGGTTGGGGGAGGGTATCTAAGAGGGGGAGGGGACGTGGGGAGGGCACCGGGTGGAAGGGGAGGGGACATGGGGGGCAGGTGCCATCCCCATCAGCCTTCTGAGCACCCTGCCCCTCCTCCCGTGTGTCCCGCAGATGGCCAGGGGCCCCTGCACTTTGGCGTCTGTTCCACCTGGCTGGCCCAGCTGCAGGAGGGGGACACGGTGCCCGCCTTCATCAGAGGGTAAGGGAGGCCAGGACCCTGCCCGGGGCACAGAGCCTGGATGGGGGCTTGCAGGGCTGGGACCCTGCATGGGGCACAGGGTGGGGGCTGGTGGGGCTGGGACCCTGCCTGCATGCTCCCCCCTGTGGCTCTTCCACCCCACAGACCCAACAGCTCCCAGCATGCCCTGCTCCCTTCTGAGCCCCATTTACCCCACAGGGACTACAGCTCCCAGCATGCCCTGTTCCACCCCTATTCTGGGGACCCCTCCTCCTCCCATTAATCCTTTCTGCTTCCGTGGCCCCTGCCCCGAGGCCCCTGCAGTGCACTGGCTGCGGGCAGAGCTGGGTGCCCAACCTGGTGCCACGCCCCAGACACCGTCACTCCCCGCACAGGGCCCCGTCCTTCCGGCTCCCGCAGGACCCCAGCGTCCCCTGTATCCTGGTGGGTCCAGGCACCGGCATCGCCCCATTCCGGGGCTTCTGGCAGCAGCGGCTGCACGACATGGAGACGGAAGGTCAGACGGGCCAGGGGGCACAGCTGGGGGTCCCTAGGGCTCATGGCCTAGGAAGGTTGGCAGTCTGGGGGCAGGGCCTGGGGATGGGGGGTTGCGTGGAGGCAGAGGGGCCTGGATTGGGCAGGGGAGGTTGGGGGTCCCTAGGGCTCATGGCCTAGGAAGGTTGGCAGTCTGGGGGCAGGGCCTGGGGATGGGGGGTTGCGTGGAGGCAGAGGGGCCTGGATTGGGCAGGGGGGCTGGGGGTCCCTAGGGCTCTTGGTCGGGGGGACTTGGTGCACCTTGCTGAGGGGGCACTGGGAGGGCCGGGTGTGTCCGGGAGGGGTCTCAGCAGGGCCAGGGCGGGCAGGTTCCCGGGGCTGGGGGCCAGCATTGCCCCTAACCCTGCCCCTGCCCTCCAGGCCTCCGGGTGGGTGAGATGACCCTGGTATTTGGCTGCCGCTGCGCCCGCCTCGACCACCTCTACCAGCAGGAGGTGCTGGAGGCCCAGCAGAAGGGGGCGCTGAGCCGGGTGCTGACGGCCTTCTCCAGGGACCCCGACGTCCCCAAGGTAACGGGGGCTGCGCCCAGGGGGGCTGGCTGGGGTGGGCCAGGGCGGCTCACGGTGACACTCTGCCCTGCCCCAGGCCTACGTGCAGGACATCCTGCGGACGCAGCTGGTGGGCGACGTGTACCAGGTGCTGTGCCAGCGCGGGGGCCACCTCTACGTCTGTGGGGACGTCACCATGGCTACCGGCGTCCTGCAGACGGTGCAGCAGATCCTGGCCCAGGAGGGAGGCATGACGCTGGCCGAGGCCGGAGACTTAATCAGCGAACTCCGGGTACGGGGTGGGGGAGCAGCTCCAGCTGGCGGCACGGGGACGCGGGGAGCCTGGCCTGGGCTACTGGGGGGGCTGCGGGTCGGGACTGAGGGGCACCGGCACAGCTGGAGGTGTGGGGACCCCAGGGCTGGGATAGGGGTGTGGGTTGGGACTGAGGGGTGCCAGCAGAGCTGGCGGAACCCCAGGGCTGGGATAGAGGCTGCGGGTCGGGATGGAGGGGTGCCGACAGAGCTGGGGGGCGGGGGACCCCAGGGCTGGGATAGGGGCTGCGGGTCGGGATGGTGGAGTGCCGGCAGAGCTGGGGGGCAAGGGGACCTCAGGGCTGGGATAGGGGTGTGGGTCGGGACTGAGGGGTGCCAGCAGAGCTGGGGGAACCCCAGGGCTGGGATAGAGGCTGCGGGTTGGGATGGAGGGATGCTGACAGAGCTGGGGGGACCCCAGGGCTGGGATAGGGGTGCGGGTCGGGATGGAGGGGTGCCGGCAGAGCTGGGGGAACCCCAGGGCTGGGATAGAGGCTGCGGGTTGGGA